CGCGTGGCCGCCATGCGCCGGCGATGCACGCCGCGTGGCAGCCCCGGCCTGCCCCGCGCCCTTCTGTCGCACCTACACCTGCCGACCGCACTGCGCTCCTCTCCACTCACTCCCACCCGCTCTCTCGCTCTCCCGTGCTCGCCCCTCCTCTCGCCGTGGAAGAGCACAGCGCCGCTGAGCACCGCACCACATCCGCCGTCGCCTCGCGTAAGCTCCACCGCCTCCTTCTAGTCCACAGCTCCGCCTCATCAAGCTCCATCATTTGCGCCCGCATGCGGCTGCCGTCGTCGAGGTGAGAGACTGTTGTGGCCGGTTTTCGTCTCCGCACCGCCGTGGCCGAGCTCGCCGGAGCTCGTGCCCGCTCGGACAGCCCGGCTCTACCTTCCTATCTTCCTCCTTTCGCACGCACCGTGCCCGCCTTGCCCTTGCGAATCTTGTGCCCCCCCGTGCCTTGCTGTGGCCGGGAAGTGCCCGCACGTGAGCATGCCGCGCCACCGTGTCGTCCGAAACGCCGGCGGGGCGTGACTCCTTCGCCTCGGCCGAGCTGGGCCAAGATGGCCGTGGGCCGAAGCCCTGAGCCAGGCCGCTGCCCTTCCCCTTCGCTCGGACTGCGTAGGCCAAAAGTGGTCGTGGGCCAGTTGTTTCCACGGGCCGGCCCAATAGTAATAGGAAAATTACGTTTTCAGTTTTCTTGTATTATTTGGGAAGAGAAATACTTCGGAAAATGTTTGTGTACTCATTTTGGCTCTAAATTTGTTGAAACAAATTTTGCTAGGTTCCTTGTCACCAGATCTACATGATAAAAATATTACATGTCATTTTTGAGATACTTTTCTATAGAGCTTTTTTTAATCCTTGATATTGCTGATATCTTGTAAAATGTGTAGTAAAACCTATATGTTTCAGAAAAATATGCTTCCAACTGTGCTATTCTTCTTGTGTAATGTACTTCCTAGGAAAAATATATGCCATGCATGTCCTGTAGAAAAATTGTGAGGTGTAGTTCAAGTGCCTTTAGTGGCTGATTTTTGTTATTTTTGCTAGAGAGCAAAATTTGTATAAAACAGGCATGTGATAATTTTTGTACAGTGATTATTTGCTGTATAGAACATAGGAAAAATGTTACATATGTTGTTTGACACTTTTCATAGTACAAAGTATTTTCATGTTCATAATTATGCCATAGCTTGTCATTTTTGTGTAGGCTATTCCACTTATCCGAATGTCATAAAAATCTGATGGTAGACTACTTAGGGTAGTACTGTGCTATGGTATTTTTCTAAGATTTTTCTAAGCTATAAAAATAGATGTTGCTATTTTAAACCTATTATTAATTAGGGTTTAATCAAATGATGCTTTATGCATAATTAAGGAATTAGTGAAGCTTTGGTGTATCTTTGAAGGATTTAATGAGATGTGTTGACTTAGCATATTAGTAGTAGAAGAGAATGCAGTAGATGACATGTGCTTGTAGTACATGTTCTTGGATGATGTTGACTACCTTGCATTCAAGCATATCCATTGTGCTCATTTCATCCGATGCACCTTTTGCATGAGCACCTACGCACATGCATCATACATGATCGCAAATCGAGAACCCAGTAGTCATACCCAAGGAGCCCGAGGAATAGCTCGAGGTGCAGCCGCAGGAAGTGACCGAAGCAAACGAGGAGGACGTTGAGGAACTTCCAGAGTGCCCCGATCACCGCTCGAGCTCCTTCGAGAGAGGCAAGCCCCGGAGCATTTTCTCCCCGGTTTGCAATTATTAATTAAATGCTTTAATTTAATTGATGCATTACGTTCAGGAGTTGTTTGCAACCGTTGCTGCATTATACCTTGTCTACCTTTGTTATACTATATCCTTGTTACCCTGGTATCCGCAGTCGAGTCAATGCTTAGCTGGCTTAGACCGGTAGAAGTCGGATGATTTCCTGTCACCAGCGAGCTATAGGTGGTTACCTGGATCTGCTTGGATAACTATGTAGTCGTGGTATAACTAAGTGTTAAATGAAGTTGAGACCGGACGAAGACTTATAGAGTTTTGGACTGTAGTGCTTTCCGTCTGTGTCGATTAAGGACCGACCGTTGTTGGGCCTCGAGTCATGTTGAACGTATGCCTTACATTTAGCTGGCCGAATAAAGTACCTTTCGACCGTGAAGCTGGGAGATTATTCGGGCCGAGTAGATTGCCCGCAGCGCACTGTACCGGAGCAGGTGTGGTAGGACACGGGGGCGAGATGATAAGACCAAAGTGCAGTCGGTCGGCCCTCGGGTACATGTGGTTCCTGGCAAACTCGAGCTTCCTGGATAGTTGACTCGGTGACCGATACCTCACTTTAGCGGGTGAGTGAGGTTTGTGTAAGGAATAAATCACCAACTGGTTAGGAATCAATTCGAATCGCCATCGCTCCTGGATAGTGAGCACTTGACTTGAGTTACTTCATCGTAGTAATGATTATGGAACACTTGGACAGTTATAATGAATATGACCCTATGGAAGTTGTTGATGATCATTGGTTATCATTAATTGCTTAATCACATGTTTACTCTAGTATAGGTGCAAATGTAGTCGACAGGTTATTAATAATTAACTGGACAATAATGCTTTTGGGAAGGTTCTTGAAATACTAAAAATGCCGCTTTTTGCAAATGAGTCAGCTACCCTACTATAAAGCCCTTCATAATCCTTGGTGTCACTTTATTTTCAGTTATGTCGGGTAAGTCTAGCTGAGTACCTTCTCGTACTCAGGGTTTTATTCCCACTTGTTGTAGATGGGCAGATGTATTACGGCTACTGTATCAACTGCCTTTATCCTACGATGGGTGATGCTTAGGACCATGGGCATGGTCATTCCTTATGTCTCGTCTGATGCTTTTGTTGGAGATGATCATTAGCTGGCACTGTATTTGAACTCCGTGTGAGTGTGTGTGGTTTTGAACAAATGGCTTCCGCTACTTCTATTTGAATTCATTTTGTAATAACTATGTTTAAACTCTGATGTATCTGAGATGCGAACTTTTATGTAATATGTGATGGTGACCGCTAAACTTATTACGATCTTAGCTGGTATGTGAGTTGGTTTGAAATCCTTTGTGATTTCACGGACTACCGGGTTATACGGGCTTAAGTTTGCTAAATCGTCGGCTCTGGCGGATGATTTTCTTACTTAATTTCGTATAATTGGTCGGTTCTGTTACATCCTATATGCTTCAGCTATTGGAAGCTTAATGAATGCTTATAAGTAAAAACTTACCCTGACATAGTTCATGTATCCGGGATGTTTTGGCAGAAGTCCAGTCCAGATATAGATCATTGGAATGGAGTTGAGAATGTCTTACAATTGTGCAAAGTTTATAGGCCTCATGGTGAGTAAGAAAGGATAAGTACTCTTAAATAGTTGTGGGTACAAAAGTTAAATTTTGGTGAGATGTTTAGTGAAACCCACATAGTAGCTAACACTCGCAGTTGGAGTTTTATTGTGGAAAAACTCCAAAGAAACAGTTGTGGTGTCATCAAAGATGCATACCCATAGTATAGCTTGTTATGAGGCTTAAAAACAGGCGAAATGGTTAAAAGAACTTACACCCGAAATTGATAATGGTATACAACAGCAATAACCATTTAAGTAGTTCGCTCCTATAACAACGGGTCAAGTGTGCTGCCAAACACATTGACGTTAAAGTTATATGTTGTGAAGGAGAAAGTCCGGAATCATACTAAAAGTATTGAACATATAAGTAACAAGCAAGTGCTTGCGGATCCGCGTACAAAAGGCTTACCACCCAGTGTGTTCAGAGAACACACAGTCGACATGGGTTTACGGGAAAGCCTATGATTTCTGGACAATAAAGGGCCCAAAGTTAAAGAATCTGTTTTAGAACAGAGACGTGTATTGTAGTTGTTAAATCTATCGGCGATTGACCGTGACGATGAAGGATGCTTTATGCACTAATCTGTGATGGAACAAATAAAAGTGAAAGGGATTAAAGTTAAAGTTTAAAGTTAAAGTATGAGTTGAGATCAAGGGAGAGAATATTGGATTGATCTCCCAACCACAGTGGCCCAACGACCACTTGGGCCTTGACCTCGCGCCCTGATCGGGGGCGCCCAGTCCATCTATGGCTGGCGGGCCCCGTCATACTGCGCAATAAATAGAGGTGGGGGCTGGTGGCTCTCAGTACGAGGTTGACCTGAGCCGTACGCCCCACCGGCAAACCCTATTCCGATCTAACAGAGGGGCGCAGCCAGTGACGGAAAGCACCGCCGCCGCCACTGCATTGCGACAACACCGCTCCGCCCCGTCGGGACTCCGCCACCTCTACACCGCCACTGCTTCCTCGCCACCGACACCGGCGTTATGGCGATTTCTTCCTTCTCTGCCAAGCCTGAAGGTATGGGTCACCTTCTCTCTCTGTCTCCCTCTTATTATCCCAAATACAAGTAAACACCCACTGGATCCACTCCTAGATGATCCTATAGGTCTAACAAAACATACTTATGTGCAAGTCTTTAAAAATTTTGGCTGACTTTTGCGAACTTCAATAATTTACCGAAATTGAAAACCCTGCTTCCATAACAAATTCACAGTATGGATAGGCTTAACAATGGATAGAGCTTGCGTACTTTTATCCTCGAGTTTGCAAGGAATCCTCCTAATCCTGTGTGGAACTCAAAAGGGACCGAAAGTGCAGACGATCAGGCCCTTGCAAAGCTGGGCTAAGAAAACTCTACTCGAGACAAATTCAAGCTGCGCTGTGATTGGGCCTGGGCTCGATTTCAAGTGTTTAAACAATGGCATTTGATTATGAATTCATGATTCATGAGTGTAAAAAAAGAATATTCTTGGCCAGTTAGACGGGCAATTTGAGCATTTATGTGGTGAAATATCTGTGCTTTATTCTAAACAACAAAACAGCAGCAGTGGCACGTTTACAAAAGCATTTACAACTTATTTTCTTGAGCTAATCCTAACCTGCTGTATCATCATCAAAACTGGCGTCTAGAGATCGCAGATGAAGTCCTCTTCCATGATAGCAGGACCAAGCTCCATGAGGGCCTCCAAGATAGCGTAATCCATCGGTGGACACGCCAGTCCGCGCATATCGTCGTCGTCTTCATCATCATCAGTGAGTGTCCGTGGGCTTGACATGGTGCTATAACCACCGGGCGTTGAAGAGCCCGTCATCAACTCTTCAAAGGTGAACTCGATCTCGTCGCCGTCGTCTGCCTGTAGAACTTTCTGTTCTGACATCTGGATGCATGAGACGGCGGCGTCTTCCGGCTGAGCAGCGCATGGCCGCGGCACCGCAATGAGCGATGAAGAACCCTTGAACTCCTCGAAGCTTATCTCCATCACGTCGTCTTCGTCCTCCGTCTGAGGAGAGCATGGAGCAACCGGCTGGTCTTTTTGGACAGGGTAGTCTAGGGCCGTCTCGTCGTGACAAGTCGCCAACGACTCCCAAAATCGCGTAAGCTCGTCCCTGGCATCTTCTTGGATCCGCGGTTGGCCTTCATCGGGCAGCTGATCTGTCTTCCGTGTGCATTGGTCCGCCGACGCCGCAGACTCGCCGCTTCCCAACACGTGCTCTGTTTCTTGGTACGCCGGCGCCGCCGTGTAGTAGTTTGTCGCTGTGAGGTCCTTGTGCAGCAGGTTGCCAACCAAAAACATGTGCTCCTCGTTCGTTCGCTTGCATGGCCGCTGCATCTGTTCCACGACGGGCTGTTCGACGACGCACGCCGCCTTCCTCTTGCGCGACGACGACACGTCCGATCCAGGGCCTCGCGGTGACTTGTAGACCTTGCACAGGACCATGGCGCCACCGCCGTGCTCTTCCTCGATGGCGTACTCGACCATCAGCCATCCTGGCTTGACGACCGACCCCGACGGCGTCACCTCCTCGTACGACATCTTTTGAAAGTACCCACCAGCGGTTCCGGGCACTGGCTTCTTCCCACCCTCCGTGTGCCACGCCCCCTTCTTCCTGCCGTCGACGCCGAGGACGGTTCGCGCCCGGTTGCGGAGCCGAGATCCGCTGCGCGCGCTCGCCTTCGAATTCCCGGCGGTGAAAAAGAACCAGACACCCTTGTCTACACCGGCGGTGAGACTGACGGATGGAGCACGAGAGAGCGGTGAATTGAACGGAGGTAGACGTCGATCAGCCTCTGGTCGCTAGGGCTGAACTCGTAGTACTTCTCGAGGCCGTCCATGTGAGCTAGGGATTGGTGGACGTGCGGAGGTCTCTCGATGGGATCTGATCAGTGCTGCGTGGCGCTCTCAGGCGAGGAGGAGGTTTGGGCGCGCGGAAGCGTAACTACGGATGTGCACCGGGAGGCTTTTTATTTGACGGATGGAGCAAGAAATTGAAGGGAGGGAAGGGCAGACTGCCTACTTGGAGTCGGTAGCAGTATCCTCCTCCTGATCGTCGGACGACGAGAAGCGCGCGTGGCAGGCACGCAGGTACACACTACTACGTACTGTTTACTGACTTATTACTGGGACGACAACGATTCGGCGGTTATCACGCTTGGAACTCAGATCGGATTCAAAATGGTGAAAACGCGCGTGGGCGAGAAGCAAGAACAACAAGATATCTAAACCCGACAGAAATTAATGTACTACTCGCAAATCATGTATATTGATCCATTCATACTTGCCAGAAATGCATTCACGTTAAGCATAGACTTGTTTAGGTAATGAAAAAAAATCCAGGTCAGCAAGGCTGTTCGGCACAGGAAGATGGGCGCGCAATTGTTCTTTCTTTAGCACTGCCTCCAGCTGCGCCGTCAAGCCAGACGATTTGTGTCGTGTGCTTAGCTCGCTCGTCATGGCAACTCGCCATGGCTAACGAGCGAGTTTGTAATGAACTTTTTCCCCTTCGCTTAATGAGACACGTGCAGCGCACGTTTTCGAAGAAAAAGAAGAAGATGGGCGCGCCATCTCAGGTAAAATTCTTCTTCTAGATAGTGTTGCACGGTCGTTGTTGGACACTTGGACCTGGACCTCCGCTATGAGACGCCGCCATGGCCTATAATAAGACACAAACAACTGCATCCTGTGTGGGCAAACAACAAAAACATCAGAGGCGGAGGATAGTTAAGATCAAAAGGGGCCATGGCCACCCCTAGGTTCTTATTTTTTCTTCATAAATATACAAGAGTCTATGGGTAATTTGATTCATGCAGTATTAGTGGCCCCCCTTAGAACGTTGTTCAAGGTATGGACCACATCATTTCTGGGATGTGTCTTCAGTCGTTAAATCTGGACAACGACCCTTAACAAGCTTGAACCTGACATCCAGGTGATGATAGTGGAGGAGGAAACCATGCTCTAGGGCTTTGTTCGGGTGGATGATTTGGAAGGAGAGAAACACGAGGACGTTCCACGGTTTAAGCTCTTCATCTGTGGCCCTAACACACAATGCGTCACGCGAAAGGAAATGGACATAATGACAATCAAAAGCAAATGTAAGATTGTCGTAACACTGACCCGAGGGAGGTCGTCCGTCTATATATCATCATATTGTTCTGTCCTTTCCCTGGACCATCTTTCCTCACTGTCCGTCCAGCGGCACCACCATCGTCGCCTAACCCCACACGCCACCCCTGCACCAGCCACAAGCGTTGAGACAGCCTTCTCCCCCGACAATTCTTGTAAGCATGTTGGATTAGGTAAATTCCGAATCTCGAACCCTAACTCTAACCTTACCGAAGTTGGAGAAAAAGATCACTTGCCATCCTTGGATTAGACGGAAAAATCAAGTGAGAGTTAGCCTTGAATCGCTTGAGTAAGATTGAGCTTTAGCCTTTACTGTAAATCGACTGTGGAGAGAAACAAAAAATAAAATAACTTTCGAGGTTAAAATAAATTACAGAAAACAACTTTGCTTCCCTTAACCAAACTGAAACGAATAGAATAATATATATAATAACTAGAGGGCAATCAGCATTGCAGCACCTCATATTGTATCCTCTGATGATTTTTTTTTTCAGCAAGCTCGATCGGGCAGGTGTTGACGTGTTGTGCCTTTATTACAGTAGAAAACAAGAGTTTGTAAACATGGAGCCATGCTGACGCAGAAACCATAACGTGTTCTGAAATTAATCGGTGTCGACGACATCGATTTGTTTATTACCAACCAGGATTTCAAACTCTGGCTTATATATCATTTTTTTAAATAAAAGATCCGAACATAGCCAACATATATTATTAAGAAGGATAGAGAATTACATGCACCAGCAGCGCAAACGGCTCCCTAGATTTGGCAGACCGCCAAACCCTAGGCAAAAGATACTAAAACGACTACTCGCAATCTAGGAGTATAACAATGAGCCACAACAACTTAATTAGCTCCCGAGCAGCAACACAACCTACCTTCATCATCTTCTAACTCGCCAAACAAACTAGCCACCAATATCTTCTTCCATTTAAAAAACTCATCGTTCAGGTGTTGGCACCATCGATTAGCATGAACAACTTTGCACTTACTTGCTAATTTCCCAGGACGACTCCTTAACCATGCATATGCTTTGCACTCCCATTATATATATATTATACTGAGACTAATGCGTCAACCAAATTGTGTCCAACCAAGTCGAGGAAATGCTTCAGCACGGTAATAAAGTGATGTCAACACTGTAAGTGTAAGGTCGACAGGAACACGATCGTTTCCAGTACTGCGAGTTGCGAGCCAGTCGACACCAAAGAGCTGTGGCTTGGGCCGGCAAAGGAACCCGAGCAGTTCGGCAGCACAGCATCCATCTATAATTTTGTCATGATCGTCTAGCTTTTCCGTCAGGTGTCCCATCCTGCACATCGCTGTTGAGAGGTGTTTAGTTCTTTTTTGGCCAAAAACTTTTCATGCCAAAACTTTTGGCAAAAAACTTTTCAGCCCAAAATTTTCATGTAGGTGTTTAGTTCACTTGAAAATTTTTTGGGCAGTAGCACAAGCTGACTGTTTTGCTCCCATTTAATGCTGCATTTGGTTCATTCAATGTCATGCATGCAATGCATGCTCTATGTTGGCGCCCATTGTCCACAGCACAATCACACAAAAAATTTATTCACCACTTATTCATACATAGTTCACCCTCAAATGGTTCTCAAACATACAATTCGAATACAAACTGTCCTCACACACACGAAAATTTCAAGATCGATTTACCAAACCGAGTGCAATGGATTCACGAAATGCATTCATCAATGCAGATTCTTCACTACTCGACACTGGAGTAGTCTCAAGCTGATTGGCAGAGGCTTCTGGCAGCACGTAGTTCTCATCATGGTCACACCAAGCAAAGTCCCTATCCCCTATGCCACTCGTCCTTATGAAGTTATGTAGAGCACAACATGCAACTATGATTTGGCTTTGTTTATGAGGTGCATAACTAGAGATCTTCTCCAACATCCGCCACTTCATTTTCAAAACTCCAAATGACCTTTCAATGACGTTCCTAAGAGATGAATGTGCATAATTGAAGGTCTCCTTTTTACCTTGTGGTTCTGGGGCGTCTCGGTACTCCTGCAGATGATACTTGGTTCCCTTGTAAGGCACACGATAACCTAGCCGGTTAGGGTACCCGGAGTCCACAAGGTAATATTTCCCTACACCAGCAAACAATAGTTAGTGTCAGGTAGTTGAAGTAGAATGAACAAATGTAGTAGCAGCTAGTTGTATACCTGTAGGTGGATGTGAAAACACATGGTTGTATGTTATCGTTGCATCAGTGAAGACTCTCATGTCATGTACAGAACCAGGCCATCCAGCTAGTACAAATGTAAATCTCATGTCGAAGTCACACACAACCATGACATTTTGTGTTGTCATGCCCTTGCGGAACAAGTGCTAAACAAACTTATCATTTGGCACCACGCAGGGTACATGAGTCTCATCTATAGCCCCTATACAATCCCTGAAGTATGGATAGAACCTACGGTTTCTCAGTCTAGGATGAATTGTTCTGAATTGGGGGTCCACAGGCTTAATGATGTCAGCAGCAAGCTTCACCACACACTTCAAAACTTTGTGAAACATGCTATGAACAGTTCCCAGTGACCTCTCAAATCTGTCCTCACCTTTCCTAACAGATTGTGGAGCCCCAACCATCCATAGAAACATCCCAAGAGCCTCAATTGAGGTGGACTTGCTACTAGATCTGAGGCCATATGATTCTACCAAAAGATCATGAAGGCGATGGAACATACTAGGGCTCATTCTAAACATGGTATAACAGGCCTTTCTATTTCCCAATTTCCTCTCTACCCATTCCAAACCAGTCATGGCTGGTTGCCTATACTCAGCCCTTGCAAATACTTGTCAATGTGCATGGCATACTGATACATACTATAGATGAAACCGTCTTCATCATCGTCCATAAAATCAGTGATGAACTCTTCAAAATCATCGTCATAAGGATCTTGAGTACGGCCCACTGCTACTGATTCAACATCCTCCTGTAAAAATAAACAAGAAATCAACTCAGTCTTGATTCACAGTAACAAGTAGTTTCATGCATCACTATCTTAACTGACATATGCCAGTAACTCCAACTCATGCACCACATAGTTCAAATCACAACCATAATTGAAGTTCACAAACCTTACTACATTTAAGTTGTTCAAATACCACACATCACAAACATAGTTCAAACCAACATCACAGACATAGTTCAAATGACAAACATCAGTACTGACATAATTCAAATGACAGACACCACTACTACATGAAGTTCAAATGATAGACAACATAAGAAAAGAGGGTCTAGTTGTCGACCCCGACATAGGTCTTAATGACCAGTATCCTTTCTTGGGGCGAGGAGTTAATGAAGAAGTTCATGACTAATTCATTCAGGATGATCTTGAGCATGCCCAGCCACAAACTTGGGGTTTCCTCAGTTGCACCACACTATCTAGCCAACTCCTGGACATATGCAATCTTTCTCTCTAGGGCCTTCGAGTTGTCCTGCATTACTTGGTTCCTCTCTTGCCAAATGTTCCGCATCACCGTGACTTTGTGCCTTGCAATGTCGTTGAAGTCCTTCATGTTGTTGTCCATGGTCCTCATTGCTGGGCTCTTGGACTTTTTGCTGTGACTGGAGGCTGTTGTGCTCATGCTGCTGGCCCTCTTGGTGCCAACGCTGAGTGGTGTCAGCTGGTCCTCTTCCTCATCAACTGCCTCATCATCAGAACTGTCACAGTCAACAGGACAACTTTCACCAGCGACAAAGGAAGTCAAACCATCAACTGCTATTTTGGAGAACATGCGGTCCAGTTTAGGCAAGTAGTCAGGCCAACCTTTCTTGAGCTTCTTCCAATCTGAATGTCCCTGCAAAACAGATTTAGTTGTTACGTAGTGCTTAGTGAAATATGTGGTAAACACCAATGAGGCAGTTTGGTGAAGTACCTTGGTATTAGCTTTCCACCATTCGTCAGTAGCAAGGACAGATCCATATTTTCTACAGCCTAAGCTCGAGTCTTTGTGAAGCTTATTAATTAATCCCCATAAACCCTTCAACTATCTTAACCTACTGGCAAACTGCTCCCAGTCATGAACCAAATTTGTTGCAGCATAATACCTCTCAATGATATCTTTCCAGCCATCCTTGTTCATGACACCCCTCACACAGTTTCCAGCGTCAATTTGGTGGCACTAGATCTCACAGAACTTGCCTGTATTGGGCCCTGACCAATTTGTCCTGTCGTTCCTATCCTAAACGATGCATGACAACACAACAAATTAAGAAAAATGCAGTAAACTTTCATGCTTCATCAGGTATATGACTAGTCAGTGGCCCTGCTTCCCATTTTTCAGAAAGTGCCATGTTTCAGACAAGTGAAACAACATACACTTCACCAGGACAAATTTGACAAAAAGAAAACAGAATTGGTTATGCAAGTCATGGTCATCAACAAGTATATATACATATTTACCAATTCGGTTCATGGATGCCATGGACCACAACTAATCAGATCTCAAAATAGAATTACATTTAGTTTCCTCAAGCATACCCAAACCGTACATATGAACTAATGAAGCATGGAACACAACATATGAAGTAGAAAATAGGACATCAACGTAAAAGGGAATCGCATTGTACCGGGACTTGAGCGGTGGGGATCTCGTCGTACGGATCGAAGTTGTCCGTGGCCACGGCTGGCCTTGGCCCGCGAAGACGTTGACTGTGGCCCCTAGATCCGCCAGTCGCGCCTGATGCAGATCCGTGAGGACGAGGCAGGGGCGGCACACGGGCTCCTCCAATGGACACGACATGGCGTGACCGCCCGTGCCTGCTCCTCCTCCTCCTTCGCCGACGTTGTGAGGCTGGCGAAAGTCGAGGGTGCGACGGGAAGGCACTCAAACGGGAGGGGGAGCCATGTTGCTGCCCTGAGGGTTGGAACGAAGAATGCCCTCGTAGGCATCCATTCTGGGCCAACCCTCGCCGTCATTGAGGTCCAGCGACTCCATCCTCAGTCGGTGAGGGTTGAGGTTGCTCGAACCCGAATAGCGTTGCACCGGGTCGGGGAAGCCCTCGTACCCCCGATGGGAAAAAGGGATTTGGCTGCGCCAGAAAAAAAATCCCTGGTCCGCTCATCGTTGCCGTACTCCATCCTTGTTGCCGCTTCCACCGTCGTTGCCATTGAAGTTGCCGCCGTTGTACTCATCGCCGTCGTTTCGGTCCATCGACGAAGGCGGGGAGGAGGACCTCGATCCGGAGTCCGCCCGCGTAGTTCTAGCTGA